ATGCTCCCCCCGCCCCCAGCTTCCCATATACCTGGCAGAGCATGGGAGGCAGAAAAGTCCCCAGTGCAAGCACCACCCAGCAACAACCAAAACATCAATGGGCCATCAACACTCCTCTCATACCAAACCCGAAACACAGCACCCCTACTAGAAAGAAAGTTAACTCTATCCCAGCTGAAACCAGGACAGAAAAAAAAGGTTTGTCTTTGGATAAATAAGAATCTAGAGAGGCACAGGCGGGATGGAAAAGGATACTGTAAGCAGCTCAAAAAATGCAAACAAGATATACAAGCTACCAATGTTAATTACCACTATTCCAATGACTGACTCCTGAACAATCTGGAGCATTGGCGCTCCATATATTTATCCGTATAAGCTGATAAATTAATTAGAAGACCTAGTGATGGAAAAGTTAATTTCATACATCATTTCCCTTAATTAAAAAAAAAAAATTGGAAATTTCCTTAAAGCGTTATTTACTACTCTTGCTATATTTGCACACTCTCATAACCCTCACAGAAACACTATAGCTCAGTAGTCATATGCCCATCCGTTCCCACACATATTTACGGGAATTTGGTGTTTCCATGAAGAAAAACAGAGTCCTTAGTTTCCACATTTCCACCTCGACATTTTTGTGAATTTAAGGCACCCAGAGAGAAAATACAGATTTTCTTTTTTTTTTTCTTAACAATCCTTTGATGTGTCTCTGCAGATGAACTAAACTAAAACGTGACTCTTAAAATGAGTCACAGTACTTACTTAGGAAACATGCGGTAACATGAAAGTAAAGTCCTATTGTATATACACCACAAATCTAGTAAGAGCAAAGGTTAAATTGTAAATTAAATATCTTTTAGTGACGAGTAAGTGAGTAATCTGCTTACATCTGAAGTCAGGAAATCCCTGAGTGTATGAAGCCAAAGAAAACATGCAAGGCCTCTGTCAGATAGCCCTGACAGAGCTCCCCTCCAAAACATGAAGTGGTCTTGGTCTTTACAGATCGAGATATTCATTCCCAGCTGCTTCTTCGTGAGCAAACAATCTAGGCACTCAAAATACAGGAAAGCATTGAACAGTGCACAGTTACGAGATGTTCAAAAATACAAAGTCAATGTGGAACACTGACCCTCTGCTTTCCTGCTTTCCCCCACTGCTGGTTGATTGTCAAGGACGTTATGGGACCAGCTGGTTCTAGAAACAGAGCCTCAGCTTTTCACATAGACACGGGGAAAGCTTTTCTAGCTATTGGATCCTGAGGGAGTTGCTAGCTCACAGCTGCTTTCCTCAACCCTCATCCTGGCTATTGAAAGGGTCAGTCTTTGCAATAAGAATTCTATGTTTTCACAATAGATTAAAAATGATCCCATTTTCATCTTCTTTATATTGCGATAATAACGGCAAACTTTAATATATTCCTCATCTATGGGACCAAAAAAAATATTCTCAATGTAAGTATTTGAAAGCTTGTATCTGAAAAGTGCTGAAATCTGTAAGCATTATTGCAAATAATTCTATATTTATCACACCGCAGACTACACGGTCAAGAATAAACAGTACGTAGATAATATCTGAACTGCTAGAGGGCAGTATCTCGTAGATGGGAAGGCTCTCCTTAATATTTCTGAGAAGGTAATGATCATGTTTTTAAAAAACTGTGTAGTGAAACACTTGGCTTCCCTTTCATCAAAATCCCAAAGCTCTTACCTGCCAGAAATATATATCACGAGCAAGAAACCCACCAATAGCTCTGGTTATTTTGTCTTGATTCTTTATTGAAGATAGCAAATACTTTCAGCCAGAATCTGCTTTGTGGCCAGTTTTGAAAGAGACAAATGTCCTTTCATTACAACTGTAAGCTATCCCTGCCAATGAACTAGAGATATGAGAATACAGGATTTTTTAATAACCACAATGAAATCAAACAAGGGTGTTTATAAAATGGAGGCTGGGGGTGGGGGGGAAGCCTTTATAGGGCCTCATTTTGCTCCCAGGGTTTGAGCCAAGCCTACTGAGGGCATCTTTCAATTGATGGGCATCCCCAGGACTCTTTTCACTGATTTCAATGGCCTTCAAACAGTAACTTAAGGCAATGATAAAGCTCCTATTGACTCCAGTCGGAGCAAAGATGGGGCTCAAATTATCTGGACTGAATAGAGAACCTAACTTGTTATGAATGGCTAGATTTTCTAGTCAAGGTTAATAACAAAATCCACAGCAGATGCTGAAATGCTTACTGTTATGTTAAGAGCTACAAAACAATTAAAAACCTGTTTTAAATAATAATGAAGCCTGTTCAACTTCTTATTAGCCATCTCTCCAGCACCCCGTAATTGCTTTCACTGCCTCATAAAACAAGGTATTGAACAAATGTTGCAGAAACATGTTTTGGAGAAACCTTTGTGACCACCATGACTCACTGTTTTGTGCCTTGCAACACATGCCCCTTCCACAAAAGAGGAGCATGCTTTGACACTGATAGTCCTGATCTGCTAAGGAGCATTGCAAGGTGAATTTTAATGCAAATATAATCATATTTTCAGAAGACTGTCAGGAAATCTTTGTGAGTCTGTGGCTTCTGACACATTAGAGCAAAATGTTGCTACAGAATATGCAATGAAATTGGCTTAATTCTCAGTTGCACTAAAGCTCTCTTTACACTGAGCTGCCAGAGTGGTCTTACAAAGAGTCTGTATGAAATTGGTACCTCTTACATAGTCTGTTTTACTAACAGACTTAACAATGGAGACTAAGCCTAGGAGATAATTGGACCCCAAATGTTATCATTAAAGGGGTGGACTCTTCTTAATGCCTCATAGCTCTTTCAGCAATATCATTTTAGCAGTAAACAATCACTGACTTCTTACTGCAGGGTATTTCTAGTAAATGGATAAAAAATACCCTGATATCCAAATTATTACTAACAAACTGCCAACCTGTAACCATATTTCATATGATATTTCGTATCAGTTTCTTTTCATTATATTGTCTTCTCTTTTGCAATTAGAAATCAATATTAGCACATGTTCCTTGGTCATTGTTTTTTTTCCCCACTTTGAAATAATCTGGTTCCCATTTCATCCCCCCCATAATTTCAGGGAAACCATCCTGATGCTAAAAACTAAGTCAAGTTTCTTTCTGAAAAGTTCTTGTGTTCATCACCCGTTTTTAATTCTAGAAAGGAAAATGTTTTTAACTGGCATATAATACTCTCCAGAGTAGATCAGGAAAACTAGTCTATACCCCAATGCAGTTATGCCTGCACAAGAAAGAGATAAATGCATTTATACTGCATGAATGCGGTCACACTATGACCTGTACGACTACAATAATTTTAAATCTTAATATTTTAACAGGTAATATACAGCTCACACGTAGAGTAAATGCAAACCCTAGGCACGAAAGCATGGTTAAAAGAAGCTATCAGTAAGCTGATGACTGTTTACACCTTAATGTGCTCACTATCCTGATTTGAGGCTTTACACAACTCTCATTGGGGTTAGCAAGAGTTTTACCAGACATTCAGATGGATTTCTTCTTCCTCCAGGTCCTATTGCTACTGCAGTCTTGGAAGCAATCTACCCCTCACTACCACAGAGATACTAGAAGACATATGGTAACATATTAGGTTTCAAACACATATAGCAAAAGTGTGAAGACTCCCAGAATATTTCAAGAGGACACTAACTGGTTTTCCAGAGAACAAATACTCCCCAAAGAATGAAACTACGTAAGAGGACACAAGATGCATTCAAGAACTCGCTATCACTGACAGTGAAGCATTGCCTCTTCTCAGTATTTTCCTCAGTAAGGAAAAAAACAAATCCAAAACCAGGGAAAATAATGAAACCAGGTTTTTTTTTTCCAGGTTAAGAAGTTAATCTGGCTTACCATGCAATCAGATGATTTTAAGACCATCACAAAGGAGGACTTTCTCGTCTGATCTGTAGCAGCTTGACCAAAACCCCTTGTTTTTGCCAGGAACAACTATAAAATCCATTCAATCCTACCATGTATCTTTATTGTCAGAAAAGAATCCAGATCTCCTGATGGACAGCAAACTAGCACCTTACTCTTTGAAGGACATTCATATAACTTATATAATCACCCAAATGGCTGGCTTTTCTTCCCTATCCCCAACTTTTCAATATAGTATTCCTATATGCTCAACATCTTATAGAAGAAAATCACTGGTATCACATGTTGATGGACACGGGAACTCCTAAGCAACATTCCTAAAGCTGTGTTAGAAACTGATTGGAAATATGACATGCCAGTTGCAGTCCACATACAGTCGCATGAAAATGATTTCATTTTTGGGCAAGAGCAGGCAACCCAAAATGCAAAGCTGCTGGGTAGATTACTTGCAGCTTTCTGACTTCCACACCAGCTGAATCAGCTCTGTGTAGTGCTGGAACCAGACCGCCTTTGTGACATGAACATAATGGAGTTTTCATCATGTTTTTGAAACTAAATGATACTTTTAGAAAATACTGAGTGAATTCAAACTCTCCTGCCTCTTTTCTTTGTATTTACTTTTAGCATTGAAGCACTCTCAACGAAAATATACCGAGTAGCTGGACGAAAGCAGAAAGAATTGCAGGACACTGTATTAATGTCAGATGAAACTATGTGCTTTACTGTCAGTTTTCTCAGGAAATTCCTAAATGGAAATGCAGGAGGTTTCTATGATTTTGTGTAAGTACTGGCTTTTCCAAACTAAGTTCCACTTTTCCACTGTTTCAGTAAGCGTGAACTTTGAAAAATGATCAAAGGTTGTACTGAGATTGCTCTGATCTCCTGCTACTCTGTGTCTGCTCTACCCTCTTACTAGTGTAAACTTAAATTAATCACATGGCCATCCAGTAAGATTCACCACTTCACAGACTCAGAGGAATACTATCTCACTGAAAAAAGACTAGTTTTGATCAGATTAGTTTTTCAGTAGCTCCGCAAGCTCATGTGACACAATGCACAATCTATAGAGCTGGAACAATAAAGGAGGTATAAATACCATGTTTCCATGTTGGACCTCGCATATGAACTCCTGTTTCAGTAAGGGAACAGGCTTAAGACTAATTTAAATCAATTATGAGAGTACCCTCTGAGATGGGACTCTGCTTTCCTCATCTTAAAGACTTGATAAGACACAGTTGTATTTCATTGGACATTACACGTGCTACAAGGCTACAGGACATGGGAACCAGGAGTCACCAGGCGATTGCGCGTGACTCAGAACAGTGATCTGCTCCGTGTCGTGCATGTGGGAAAGGAGATTGCAGGGATGAAAGTAGTATTTAGAGACAGGAGACCAAAGACACCAGGGAGGATAAAGTAGCAAAACCATTTCATATAACAAATGAATCTGTGGAATTTCGTACGCTAGAGTTTGTCATGCATGAGGCAACAGTAGTTTTAACAGATGTCCAAAGGATCATCTCTAAGCGATCATATTTTTTAATAAACTGCTACTTCTCTTGCTTCTGCTAGGATTGAGAAGACAAATGATTGCAATACATTCCAGTTAAGTCCCCTCATGTAATAAATTAATGCACTGGAATAACATAACCCACTGCACCCTATACATTCTTGTTACAAATGCAAAGCATGTTTGGCAGCAGTCAAGATCCTAATACAATCCTAAATATCTAGAGTCCTGTCACAGATGTGAAATATATTACATACAATGTTTCTAGATATTAACAGCTTGAATCTTATTTCCAGTTATTAACTTCTTTAATATTTGTACTTTCATAAAATTCATAAGCAATCAATCACTACAGACTGATGCACATTAATAACAAAAGCACGTTCAATCTCCTTACCTGTACTGGCATAGCCCAAAGGTTAGGGCAGAGGAAAAAGAACCACATCAGCTGATTTGTGTCTATGGCAACCAGGTTACAGATCTGGCCTGCAGTCATCTCCCCCATAGACATGTTAGAGGTTGAAAGCTGCATAATTTTATTGTATATTTTTGTCTGGAAGAGAGATCAAAAGGTGTTAGCATAGAGAAATAAACTAAGATTTCTAGCTCCATCCAAAACATAGGCCTAGTCTAGCATGCTGAGGGAAACCAACCTTCCCAGTAACTTGAATGAAGAGCTGAAAGTTTGGCCTTTGGTGTTATGATGAAAAATTTGAAGCTACTGTCTATTGTTAACTCACAAAAAGCACAGCGCAATTAGGTACATAATGGTTGTCTAAGTACTCCCTTTTTGCATTCGTGTGGATCAGTAAGAGAATGAAACCTTTACTGCCCAAAAGGCCCAAGAACCATATGAACAACTATGATTTATACCTCCAGCTTCTCCACAGAGTGCCCTTTGCTGTAACTAGTGCTAATAAAATAATATATTATTACATTCAATATATAATAGTCAATATATTATAATCCTTGTTATTTTTCTTTGGCAATTGATTCAGGTGCCATCCAACCTCTGAACCATGTTCCTGGTTGAGAACATTGCTTCATTGTGGCTGGAGAGCTCAGTCCCACGACGAAGTTTAATTCACAGACAACTAATGTAACAGGTCTGATTGTGTACTGGATTAAGTAGCTGCCTCAGGGCAAAATCAGGCACCATGTATAAAAATAACTTAATACACAATAACAAAAGTGTACTTTTACCAGCTGGTTTGGGAAAAGGCTACACAGTGATGCTTTGCAGTCATGAGACTTAGCTGACAGGAGGCACCCTGATTCAGTAAGTGCCTTTGGATCAAGTGCAAACTGTCCATCACGAAGCATGAAGTCATACAGGGCACATTGAACAGGTGCAGATTTACACAGGGGAGGAAAAGAGATAAAAAAGAGTCAAAGAAAATTGAAAAATAATAGGAAAAAATTGTATGAAAATACTGGCACAGAGACCGCCATTAACACTAATTCTGCTGCTTAGAAATTTTCCAATTTGAACAGTCCGACTGCTGGCGTTATCTGGGCCTCTGTGTAATATCCAGCACAGAGAACACAAAGCTTTTCTTAAACAAAATTGATGGGAATGTAGCACTATTTTCCAACAATTCCCTTTTTACACTTGCTGTGGTTCATGTATTTTTCAGTTAGTTGCAGCTCTTCTGCTTGATACAAGACGTGCAATTTTTTTATATATATTTTGGGTCAAATTTTTATTTCTTTAGGAATTTTCTGTTTCACTCTAATAAGGGAAAACCAATGGATGGAATCCAGAAGTCTGGCAGCTGACAAGTGGTTCCAAGTGTAAGATCAAAAGAGGATTAAACAATTACGCTGCTATTGAAAGCATCCACCTATGACACAGACTCTCACAGGATCTATGTAGTTCAGTGGGCAAATAGTGTAACTTATAAGGCTGGCTTTCAAGCTGTCAGAGGGTAAGTTTCAGCCAGTGCACATGACAACATCGCGTTGTAATCTTACACCTAATTCTCTCCTTTCCAGGCACAGATCTCTGTATATGACACACAACTTTGATCTGCTGTTCGCAGTTATACAAGGATTATGGACTCCGTTTTACCAATCTTACTCATGTTCAGTAATTACAGACTCTGCAATGCCTGGCAGATTTTGTGGCATGACCCATGGAATAAGACACTACTCCATGCGTTGGGAATACAACCTATCCTTTTGTCCAAAGTATATTTACAAGACATTTTAAAGCTGTATTATTTGCATGGGATGTTACAAAAAGGCGTGCCTTTGAGATGGGAGAGGTATAGTTCACAACATAAATTCTTTCAAAAGTTACATTCAGTTTTACTGTCAGCAAATTTATGCTCAAAAGTAAGAATCACAGAATCATAGAATCATTAAGGTTGGAAAAGACCTCTAAGATCATCAAGTCCAGCCATCAGCCCAACACTACCATACCCACTAAACCATGTCTCTAAGCGCCTCATCTACACATCTTTTAAATACTTCCAGGGATGGTGACTCCACTACTTCCCTGGGCAGCCTGGTCCAAGGCCTGACCACTCTTTCAGTAAAAAAATTTTTCCTAGTGTCCAAAGAAGAACTACAGCATTAGATATTACAAATAAATTTTTATATAAAATCATCAAGTAAGATGCAAGGGAAAGAACGGAGGTCTAACTTAACACAATCTTTAATGGCAACAGTTACATTCAATACATTTCAGGAGAGAAGAATTTCAGAATTTAACGACTACAATTATAATTTGTATTTACAAATAGACATATGATTGTATGAAAATAGGTTACTTAATAATATATTGGCTACCTGTATTGCGCCTCTCAAGTTGATTCCCGTTTCAATAGCAACATAGTATGATGCTTGGAGAAACGTCCTTTGCAATAGAAGGGCAAAAAATAAGAGTACAGCCAAAACATAAGCATTGGACAGGAACTCTTGAGATGAAATAAAGAAAACACCAAGAATTTTAGTCTATAAAAAAAAAAGAAAGTTAGAAGTCAGGTGCAATGGTAATTTAATTATCAATTTTGCATAATTAATAAGCAGATATAACCACAGTTTATTATTTTGAAAGTGCTCCCAACCTGATCTGAAACCTCACAGTTTATCAATTCAAGGGAACAGTCATATAATGTGCCAACTCAGTAAGCTTTATTTAAATGCAAAATGATATTTGTAGGATTTCTGATATCCTTCCAAAACTCTAGGACACTTTGAGTAACTCCATATGGTCATTTGCTAAAAGATGTGCACTGCCCATTTTCAGAAAGAACTACTTAATGTCCTTTTGGAGAAAACAGTCTCCTTATTTTAGCACCCCAGGTTACTGAACATTAAAATAACCTTCACAGCTTGCCGAAAACACATCCTTCCAACTCCTGGAACAATGTACATTATTTTGGTTTGCAGCATCCAACAGGTTTGTTTAGCGTTTTTATTTATGGTCACTACCTCCTAGCAAGTTTGTGAGATCACCAAAGTGCGTTTTGAAGCACGTCTATAGTTTACTGGGAAAGCAGTACATTTATTCTAGGTTATATTTAACAAGCAGACACCTTTGGTGCCACAACTAGTTGAGAGGCTGGCTCACCTTGGGAAGCCTTCTGAAACTAAAATGTCTCTGCCTTCCTCTTTCTCCCCTTGGCTCCTGCAAAGCTTTGATTGCTGGCTTATGCTGCCATTAAAGGCAAAATTAGGAAGAGGTCTCTTTCTATTCCTTCTCAGAGGGCTTCTTACCACTTACACTCCTGCTATATTCCTTGCTCAGCACATTTCTTCTAGCCTACATAGTTTCTTTGCTGTTGACATTTTCAAGATTGCTATAACACTTAATAAACTATATTTCACAAACTCTCACTGTCTGTACGTTTTATTACGTCTGATCTGCACCTTGAAGCTAACTGTTTATAGAAAGCCCACATGACAAGTTCATAGAGAGGCTAAACTTAGTTTTTCAACCTATGGTTTTATAAGGTATGGCCAGATGAAAGAGGAACGGACTTCTCCCCACCCCTAATTGCACCTGGGTTGCTCCAAGCTGTATGCTTCTGTTGCTCACTGTGCACTAGTCTGGCAGCTTATTGGATCTCTTCCTGAACCAGTTCAAATCACTGTCAGAAGAAAATCATTCCAGGAAAAAGTATCTGCTTCTTTTCTTTTAGTTCAACGGGCCAAAGCAGACCACAAAGGTGTCCAGTTGATGCCAGAGCTAAAGCAAAGGAGGGAACAGGAGCAGGGGTGACAAGGAATGTGGAAGGAGGAAGAGCAAGTCCTTTCAGCAGTAGTGACCCAATAGGTCGCTTCATCTTCTTGAGGAACCAGAGCCTTAGGGTATTTTTTCCATCTCTTTTTACTCCATCTTTTGAGATTCATGATTGCTTCTGCCATTACTGTAGTAGGCACACTACCTCCTTGACATCAGTAGCGTAATTAATTAGGCTTAAAAGCAGAGAAATGTATGCTTACCTTTGCAAACAAGTAAACAAGATAATGAGCAAAACAGTTTTTGAAAGGATCCTTTGTTTTACTCCACGAGAAGAGTGCACACTTACAAGAACAAGTTTCCACAGTGCCTCCCACCTCACATAGCAATACCCATTCTCATGAGAGGAAAACTAGTTTGATCTGTCCACGCAAGAGTTTAACCATCTGTTGAGGTGCCTAGGAGGCCATTCATCAACACCAAAGAGTCATTCTCCATAAACATCTGATCACTTCCAAATGAATTGTGGTTGACTCTTCTTCAAACATTGGCCAAATTAAGCAGCTGTCAAAGGACTTTTGTCTACTACGCAACACAGACTTGCGTGGATTTCTTAGGTTTACTCCCCTTTCCCATTTATGTGGCATTTGTTACAAGCTACTGAGATTCAGACGAAGACTGGACACAAAGAAAAGCAAGTAACTATGATTCCATTCCTGTAAATATTTGTTCAGGCAAATGTTCCTTATTTCCGTTAGGAGGCATCTTGATAGCCGTATACTACTTTTATGAAGCATACAGTGCAATAACTTACAAGAACATGGAAAATTTCCATCAGTGACACTCAACAGTGCTGAGTTTCATGCTTTGAAAACAGGGAATAAAAACTATTTAATTCAATAATTTATTTCCTGCTCTCACAGGTAAGTTGTCAGATGATAATATTTTCCAATTCAGCTAGGTACTTTGACTTCAACCAGATTTGATGTAGATAAACATTTCTGCAGTCTGTAGGGCCACTGAATTAAATAAGGAATTAGCCCTCAGAGAAGCCCTCTGAGAAAGTATCAAGCATATGGAGTCAAATCAATAGAATGCAAGCAATCGCTGGGCATACTTGTTTCTTTAAACCTGTATCAAGTGCAAAACTCTGAACAATTACAGTACATGTCAGCAGTTATGTTCAGATGAAGAGACATTTAACTACAGTTTTAGTTATTTGTACCTTAGAGGGATTTTAAGCCCTAAATTATTACTTATTCCATAGTAATTCAAATAGGCTACAGCAGCATTATACACTACAAAAAGCCTATGGTACAGTAAAAGTGAGTCTCTCTCTTAGAGTCTTACAAGTTCAGGTCTTCAAATCAAATTAACTTGCCTTTGACCCTTGCAAGATGTAATTGCTATAAATTTATTCTTGCTGTAACTCTGAAGAATAAGAAGGAAGACCCAAGGCTTTACATTTAGCCTGGAAGCTTTAGAAAATGTACCACAGGTCTGGAAAACTACAAGTACAACCAAGCCTTCTCCCACGCTACCTGTAAGGCGTTGAAAGTGGAAAAGAAACGAGAAATTCACAAATTGGCCAAGTCCCTGGCCAATTAGATGCATCTAATTTATCTTTCAGACTCTTTAATATTTATGCTCATAAAGCATTAGGCACATGTAAGGTGGAAGAACTGCCCCTGGTGCTTAACTGTACAAGTTTAAGAGCTATCTATTGTTTCCTGTGCAGTATATATATACTCAAATACAAAACAGAATGCAAAACAGTATGTAAGCGCAAAACTTTTGGAAAAAAAAAAAAAGAAAAAAAAAGAAAGAGCACATTTGGGGAAAACCAGGATCATTTACATTTGTGATGTTTTCACCTCAGACATATCTTGTTGACTTGCAACAGTGAGAATCTTTCCTTTGAGATCTACCCTTTCTCAGGTCAGCTATTATTTTAGCAGTTCTTCACTGGGATTTCTTTTTATTTCAGTACAGGGCCATCCAGGAAAAAGTGGCATCTCTCTAACACATTAAAAACTAAAAACAGCTTCTTATGAAGGCAAAGCTAAAACAACATGAGCCGGCAGTGTGCCCAGGTGGCCAAGGCGGCCAACGGCATCCTGTCCTGTATCAGATATAGTGTGGCCAGCAGGACTAAGGAGTTGATCGTGCCCCTGTACTCGGCCCTGGTGAGGCCGCACCTCGAACACTGTGTTCAGTTTTGGGCCCCTCACTACAGGAAGGACATTGAGGTGCTGGAGCGTGTCCAGAGAAGGGCAACGAAGCAGGGGAAGAGTCTAGAGGACAAGTCCTATGAGGAGCGGCTGAAGGAACTGGTACTGCTTAGCCTGGAGAAGAGGAGGCTGAGGGGAGACCTCATCGCGCTCTACAACTACCTGAAAGGAGGTTGTAGCGAGGTGGGGGTTGGTCTCTTCTCCCAAGTAACTAGCGATAGGACGAGAGGAAATGGCCTCAAGTTGCGCCAGGGGAGGGTTAGACTGGACATTAGGAAAACTTTCTTTACTGAAAGAGTGGTCAGGCCTTGGAACAGGCTGCCCCGGGAAGTGGTTGAGTCACCATCCCTGGAGGGATTTTAAAGACGTGTAGATGAGGCGCTTAGGGACATGGTTTAGTAGGCATGGTAGTGTTGGGTTGATGGTTGGACTTGATGATCTTAGAGGTCTTTTCCAATCTTAATGATTCTATGATTCTGTGATTCTGTAACATACAAGTCTGTGACACTGGGAGATCGTGAATGTCAAAGATACTAACATGACATCAAAGAGAAAGGCTAAGCATTGTAACAACCATGAACCATGAAGGTTACAGATTGTGCTATATTATATCAAAGGCAGTAACATAAGCAGCACAATTTCAATGCTGTCCTACATATACATCTGGCTAGTACTGCTAATTACTGCAGCTAATACCACTTTTTACTGTATATAAAAGAATACCATTTTTTACACAATCATGTTCTGACAAATCATGCTTTTCTAGCAATGAGATTTTGGTGCAGTGTTGATTCATGTCAAAACATTACATAATAGATTAACAAGGAGGAAAAGTGAGATGTACTCAACCTGAGAGAAAAGGAGGACTTAAACATATATACATAAATATCACACACACATTTGGTGAAAGCACCGAGACATTTGTCAAGTCTCAGGTGCATTATCAGGGCCATTATGGTTTACAAAGTCACTGAGCATCTGTGTGTTTAAGCTACAATAGTTGTCTAAGTACACTTGTCAGCCTGCAGGAAACACAAGTTTTTTTTCTGAACCTTTTGCATATAAGGCAAATAACCTTGTTTGAGAAGTTGATGGAACTAATTAGATGTTTTCCTTTCAGAAATGGCTTTGGGGACTTTCAGCATCCCACCTTCCTGACAACTTCAGGATAATACCATTTTTTAAAAGTGCCGGTAGGCTCTAATCAGTAAAAGGCTGAGCAAAAGGCCACTATTTAAATACTTAAAGACCCCAGACTCACAGAGTCTTAAATGTCAATACTGGGCCTTCTGCTACACTGGCACCTATGAGTTCTAGAGCTTTTTAAATAATGAGTCTGTAGGTTTGGTGTATCATTTGAATGTGTTATGTCAGCAGATATTCCTAATACTGGAACTCCTAATCCTAACATTGCAATGTGGAAGATGCTACCAGCAAAATATAAAGGTTATCATTCTGTCAGTCTCTTCTTCGGTGTGAAATGATTAACACTCAGAGAAATTCATGTCATAAGAATGTTCCGGGGTGGCCATAAATATTGATACTGGAGTTATAAATAAACATGAAGAGCGTGACAGAATTTAAGACGCTGTCGTGCTCTGACTAACTGCGGCACTAACTAAAGCAGTTAATACTACCCGTGACACCCATGTGATCTCAGAATTCCAGCACCACGGCAGTTTATATCTGTCACAAAGGGCCTGAAGAATGGAGCAAATATTATATCTTGGGATTTACCTCTTTGCCTTCAGTTTCACAAACAGAATTTCTGTTTGAAAGATACAGCTGACTCATTACAACGCCTCCTCAATCTAAACTATTTAAAATGAAAATCTAAACTGTTTAAAATTAAGAAATGTCACTTTAACGGATGGGTAAAAGACGCTCTCCGCCGTACTCACAGCTTACTTTGCTTGTCCGATTCTGTCCCACTGTATGTCAATTCTTTCCAACGCCCTCAAACTCAGCAGCACATCAAACACAAACGATATTTCCCCCCAACTTATCTTTGCCCTCATAAGGCAGTGTTTTAGAAGGCTTGTTTCTCACACCTATGTAGCTCTCAGGAGCAAACAATTGGTAAGGCAAGGTTCTCCTTTTTTGACTCATTACAAGTACGGATGTAACATTCCTAGCAGTAGAGCTGGTGTATTTTTTTCCAAAGTAGACCCTGTTGGCTAGGTATGTGCATACATGTGGGAGTTTTCCTGAACACACCAGTCTGTCTACAGATGGTTTGAATAGAAAGCCTTCATACATTTTAGAAAGATACTTCATTTAATCCAGCAAAAGCAATTTCCAAATGTAAAGGTAATTAGCCTCTTAATAGAAAAACAATGTGTATAAACCAGGTCAAAACAGAAGGAAAAGCCTCTTGGAGACCTTTTAGCAAAGGTAAAATACACCCTTAAGTGTCACTCATGGACTATCACCACCAGCGAATATTGCTGTTAGGTGATCCTCAAATGGTATAAATGACAATAGTGATGAGGCTACCACTTAGCGAGACACAGTGAGGGCGTCAAGGCTGGATGAGACTCCATCCAGCGCCTATCTGGACCAGACCTGAGCATTTTTCACAGAGGAGCACTAGCTGACACTTTAATAGGAAAATGAAATAGGATAGTCCGTAAATAGCGATTCAGTATAATTTCAGCTGAAACAGTGTTCCAAACAAATTATCAAGCAGCAGCTAAAAAGCTTCCACAGTACTTTGCTGCAACATAGCCCTATAGCCTTAATTTTTTCATTTCCTGCTTTAACTGGTTTCCATTGAAACTACTTGCTATATTAAGTTTCCAAATATTAGGATAAGGATTGCAAAATGGATAAGCAATCAATTTTAGCCTGATGCCTTTGTTAAATTTTCTGCAATGCATCTGATGTATTTCAATATGTACAGTGGACCTAATCCAAAGTGTACTTGAGTGAATGGGTATATTTCCATTAGTGTCAACAGACTTCTTCGGAAATAAAATCTTATATCAAACAATAAGTGAGCTGCACAAATAAAGTGAGCTTTCTCATAGAAACCCAGCCTGAGTGACCTCACCTTATAATGAGAAGATGCTTCCTGAGTCTTTCCTTTTTTTTTTTTTTTTTTTTTTTAAAATTTCTTTTTTTTTTTTTTTTTTTTTTTTTTAAAGTTAATCAAGTATGCCTGTTTCTTCCTGGGGAATATTCATTTAAGTAGCATTCTTTAAAAATATGTCTCAGGCAATCTTTCAAAACCAACCTCCCCAAAGACACTAGTGGAAATTCTTTGTCACAGCTAAATTATTCGGCATTTTATTGCGATGACAAAAGCCTGCTTTAACCCTCTTCAGACACCACTCATTTTTGGAAATAAAAAGCCAAGCCTATTAAAAATACACTTTTTGCTTTTCAAAAAGCACTCAGTCACATACATGATTCAATTTCTACTCAAGACTGTACCTAAAATCCTTACGATACTAGTGGGATTCTGGATATGCTTCACCATTATCTTTAATGAGGTTATTTTCCAGAATGCAAGCCTGACTAGATGTGTAGGTTACATATGTTGCTCCCCATCAAGGTATAAATGTGGATAATAGGCAGTACATAACATACTGTCATTTCTAGCATTCACAAATACATTGCAGAGTCACTTTCTTTACTGAGGCCAAATAATACATAGTCATAGCATTACTTTTTTCACTTCTCTATTTTTATGACATTTTGACAGTACCTGTGGGCGGATGGTGTTATTTCCTTTTCCAACATTGTGAACAATCCCAGAGATGCAGAGCGGACCAGCAAATCCAAGCAAGTCAGCCAGAATACGGAATGTGCTACTGAGAAGTAAGGGTCTTCCAAAAGCACAGCAGAGAGCACGCCAAATTGATCTGGATCCTTGTGGAGATGATGACCTTTTGTTCTGTTCAGAATAAAAAAAAAATTAGCAAGGATTATGGTATGTGTTCACCTCAGGACTGATAAATTACTGGTATTTTTATCCCTCCTTTAATTCATTGACAACCAGTTGCAATTTTTGAGCTAGAAGAGCACAGGAACTACAATTATTGTTTCATTTGTTTTTATAGAGTCAGAACAAAGCATTAATTTGTACTCTCCTCCACATCACAAAAAGAACCTACCCTTAAGAGGGATCAAATAAGCGTGTTCTTTGTGGCTTGCTGGGGGAGAAAGAAAAAAAGAGAGAGGGAACTGACAGGTTTTGTGTTCCTGTGAACATAGAGACTGGAAACCTACGCTCTTTTTAGACAGAATGCAAAAGACTTCTCAAAATCCTGAATACACTCAGCTCCCACCAGGGAGTCAAGGAGAATTTGAGCTGAGGTAGTTTCAGCACTGAATTCTCCTACGGACAAACTGTAACTGAAGTAACATGGAAAAAGTAGTCCTGCGAGGCCTCATTAATATTTACTCTGCAATTGAATGATTCCAGGGTCTTATTAGAAAGAATGATAATGGGGTCCAGTGAATACACTCCATAATTACTTTCCACATCAAAATAGAGGCCATTTGGATTTTACATGCATTTAACCAGTAATGTGTTTGACAAGCATGTTTAGGTAAAGAAATTTCATTATTTGTATGAGGTATAACTGAGTATGTGATCTCTTTGTATATGGAAAGCTATGCTAATGGATACTTCATTTGCATCATGTCTGTTTATATGATTTTATATCATGCTCATAGCATAAAAAGTAATGAAAAACGTAAGCACTGAGTAAGCACACAGACATAATTCCAGGCTTTGCATACCTTCTGTGCTTCAAAGGCCTCATTAAGGCGAATGTAATTGGTCAGAGCTCTCATAGCAATGGGAAGCTTGCCTATGGTTTTCAAGTCTATTGGTTTTTTATGGGCGGTCTTGATGAATGTATTCATCCACCAGTATGTTCCTTTGGATAACAGATTCACAAACGGCTGCAGGAATCGAACACCAAGGTCCTGGAGATCCTCAGGAGGTTTAACTTCTTTAGGAGTTTTGAAGAAAACATACCTCTGAAATTCAGAAAAATACCAGAAGAATCACACTAAACGCATAGAAAATAAAAGTCCGCAAAGAATAGATAAGAGATAAAGGACATAGCAGATAATCAATGAATCAGTCTTGGTTTCTCAAAAGTACTCAAGGAATTTAGGCATTCAAATTCAACCAATACAGCAATCCAGTTTCATCGGTACTGGGGAAAATCAGAGGCATCCAGTCTAGAAATAAATCAGCCCAAACATTCACTATTACTTTATGGGGTACAAATTTGCATACTTGCAGGAAAAAAACCCTCACATTTAAAACAGTACAGCCCCAGCCCCTCGCTCTGAGTTCCAGACAGCGCAACATGGAACATACTAGCTTAGGCACAGCCCTGAACCCATCACAGTGATTCATCTTCCATACCATACTGCCTCACATTTAGTTAGCTCAGAACATAGAGCTACCTCTGCCGGCCTGAACGGGTCTGGGAAACCACTGAACTAGAGAGTGCACTAACAAATATTTTCATTGGCTTAAATGTCTCAAGAGCAAGGTTAGGCTGCTGCTGATTTCCTGTTGTCAAGATAAAACTTTTTCAGACATTGCTCATTTTTGGGAATGAAAAGCCAAGCCTCTTAAAAATACACCTTTCCTTTCTGAAAAGTATTCGATCACATATTTAATTCAATCTCTACTCATGACTGTACCTAAATCCTATTAATCTTAGTAGAATTTCTGGGTATGTTTCACTGCTATCTTTTCTCCAACCATAGTTGGAGAAATAATTCACAGATCCTAGAAAAAATGGTGATGAGGTTGGGAAAGGCCATCTAGAGGAACAATGGGAACAGTGGAAGGAAAGGAGAAGGTACAGTTGGGACTGGAAGTCAAATAAATCAATCTTCTGTCTTCTGGAAGAAGATGGAGGAAGGCAGGAGAAAAAAGGCGAGGCCAATGTCTGCAGTTTCTGCTGCATAGAGGCCTCACTCCTTATTTTTATTTTCTCTCCCCCACCCCTCGCCTCTGCTCCTCCTCAGCAGTGGCCAGCTCTCCACGCATCCCAATCCCTTCCTTCAGCAGCTACAGCAACAAGCCCGGCTCTCCAAACTCTGCCATAGACATAATAGGCAGTAAAAAATCCATACTGATGGCTAATTCACTTTATGCATCAATGACATCCTTTAACATTTAAATCCAAACAAACAAACAGGCAAAAAAGATTACAATAGTCAGTGACCATTTTTTATTTTTCCTTGTGGCCTATAATTCCACAGTGATTAAATCTCATTTAATAATGCAGTTCTATTATGAGGAGGTTTATGAGCAAGTCTCTCCGATATCACATTTGAATTCTACTTTTCCCACAAGTCAATCCATTTATGAGATAAATACTGAATGTCCAGCATTAAGGTTTTTACTCTTTCTTTCTAAAATGTTACTGAAAAGTCTGCTTTTAGACATATTTTTGTCCTAAGTTATCAAATAAACATACAGACACACAAGCTCCCCCATCACAAAAGAACAAATATGTGATAGATACAACTCACATTGCTGAATGCGTTACTGGAAAGAGTTCGATACTAGTGTGAGGGAAGCAGCAAGAAAATTTACATGGAAAAGTTTCTTTCCTTCCTGAGACTAAGTTTAATTTGTGCACACAGTTTAGTGAGGGACAGGTGAAAGGAAGAACTTTGGCATTTATCTATCCAGCAGCCTCCAAATCCATCTCCCAGTTTAGATTATGACTGCAGACACCACAGAAGAAAAAAAAAAAAAAAAAAATGCTGGGAGGCTAGATAGGAACCCCAGTTGCCCCAGTAAATCACTGTGATTGTCTCCTGGAAAATGAGAGATGTTATTTGTGTGTCTAAGATATTCTTTGATAGAGCAGACAATTCCTTTCACCCAGTCTTTCCTTGCATCAGAAATACTTGTTTCTGATGACTGAAACTGTGAAGCACAATAGACATTTTTAAAACAAACTTGAACAGATTAAATTCATTTTAATTTAACTACAACGGAGACAGCATTTTTTAAAATTATGGATTCATCTGGCCTAATAAAGTTGGGTTAACCTTTGATTCTGAAACATATTTCTATTTCTAAGTGGATTTTTCTCTCTCCTTTAGAAATGCATTTCACAGTAAGTACCCAAGAAGAGAAATAAAGAAAAAAAATAAAACCAAAACACAGAAGGAGACTTTTATGATACTAACTTACCCTCACCCTGATGACATTGATTTCCACAGCTAGCAGCATTCCATATAGAACAACCAGGAGTCCTGTGAGGCAAAATCGAAGCTGAGAAAATCCAACCCCATTATCACAGAACTTTACAAATTTGATGGTTTTAGTTATGAAAGCTAAAGTCCAGTAGAACAGCAATGCTGTAGGGGGGGGAAAAAAAAGTTAATCAGCTCCACAAAAATATACAATAGCAGTATTAAATATTCATTCAGAAAAAGAATGCAACAAGAATATATAAACCCAGAGAGTGGCCTTTCTCATAGCAAAACAGAAGCCTAATTCAATTCCACAAACATGAAAATATTAAGATAATGTTAGTACCAAATTCCTTTCCTATTAGATTTAGTGATACTTAAGTGTTGGTATTCATTGGTATAACTGTTTATTATTCAAATATTGTCCAGAGGTTATCCAGCATCAGCGCTCTAAATACTGAACAAAATTATCATAAAAGAGAAATCTCTACAGAGAAGGGATTATGCAAAAATAGGTAATCAAATACCAGCTGTAAATTTGTGCTACCCTTCTCAATGATTTAACAGCAGAAATGTGGTAGCAACACTAAATTATTAAACACTGCATTATACATCTGAAATAACAAAAAAAAAAACCCCCACCAAGAAAATCACTGCTCGCTTTCCATAGGTGGTTGTAACAGGCTAGCAATGCTTTCCTGACATAACATCTAGTCCTTGAGAAGGCATTAAATAGACTGTGTTGACTTATTAAAAAACTAAATGACCCCACCTGGTAATAAAAGACAAAACCGATCCTACTTAAGAGAAGGGTACAAGAAGAAAAGCAGTCCCAAATGCAAAGACATAAAGGTTGCCAAGCCTGGATAGAAATCTGAAGTTTTCAAAGAGGAATGACTTCCCCCCCTCGCCCCTCCACGGGAGTTACTGGCTCTTTCTGCAGAAGGGGACGCTTGCTTACCACAATTTGCAGTTCAAAATAATCTTAAATATTTAAAAGCTTTTTCAAATCCAGTTGTTACTGATTTTTTAACACCTGACAAAAACTAGAACAGAACTTTGATAGACACAGCTACAACGACACAAGACAAACCTTAGCAGGATCCATCAATACAGAAAACCAGCTCAAACAAAATTTGATGAGCCAGGACCACCAAAGAAATAACAGCTAACAGGATGACTAAACATGTAGACATCCACAGTCTGCAATCTACTTAAGCAGTAGAGAACATGTCACCTACAATGTAGGTGTATAATCATGTATAATTGTCTGCAGTAATGGATTTTCTATAGCTAGCTACAGTTTATTTACCATCTTGCAGAAAATATATAGTATACTAGGTATTTCTTATACATAGCATTTTCTATTCAGAAGGTCTTAAAGCAGTTTACAAAGGGAGTTTTAGGACTAGGAAGCAAGAACAAGCAAGCAAAGTAATATATACAGGGTCATATGGAAAGTCAGTGATGTCATTTGTTACCCTTGACTTTCTGCTTATTTCAATGGACCACACACACAAAAATGGCTTCAATCTTATATCATGCTTCAATGCAACATGCTAACGAGCAGGGGGATTTGGATAGCTTTTAGAGTTAAGAGTTTGACGTGCTACTTTTCCGACAAATTCAGTTTTTCCTAGAGAAGCCTTTGACCCATTGGATTCCCGAAAATGCTATACAGAATACTATTAGAAGTTAAAAGCACTGAAAACAATGAACCGTTTCAGGAAAACTCGGAACCGAGTCTGGCAATGGCAACTAGCACACCAATGTAAGTGTAGCTTTATCCATACAAGCTAGCACCGAGACTGCAATGACCTGTCACAGAATGAACAGACAGCACCACAAACACAATTCCAAGACTTGTAAGTTGTGAGACGTACCGATTAACAGCTTTGGGAAATTAGATGTTTCGATATTATGGTAATAGACAACTGACGTGATGGCCGCCAAGAATGCCATCCCAGCCGGCATGTACAGGTGTAAATGGCGTGATTCTGAAACCCTTAAAAAGAAAAAAGTGAACATCTATTAAAATCAAATCCTCTTAGCTATTTAAACATTTCCCTTTTAATTTATGAATTGTATCCTGTACCCAGCCCTGCCGTAGGATTTTCTAGAATGAGTTATGGAAGTAAAGCTCTCCAATTTGCAATTGGATTTATGCACCTAAATCACATAGTCGGATTTCAAATTCCTCCCCTGTGCTGAAAACGTGTGTACTCCTATTTCCTACCGAAATCAGTTGGAACGTTGTTTAAATTAGGGTAAGCAGCTCAGCTCCAAAATGAGAAAAGTTAATTTAAGCTAAACTAGTTTGGGAGCTGTCCATCAAAATATGTAGGTAAGACCAACTGACAGAACAGTTTAAGATTTTCTACAGAAACCTTTTGTGGAAATGTTTCATCTTCTTTTTCCAGTGTGGGAGAAGGAACAGCACCACACCATGGGAATTACTTACATTGAGTTCTGTTTCCAGTGACTGCAAGCCAACAAACAAAACCTACAACAGAACCATATACTCTTAAGTTTTGTCCCATAAAGCAAAACTCTCCTGACACTTTGCTTCAGGTAGCAGTGGAGGAGGTTCTGCCAACTACAGCCCTTTGGGAATATGCGAATTGTTGGGCAATGTTGTTGGTTTGTGCAGAGGTGGGTAGAATCATGTTTCCCCCCCACCATTCCTCCTACTTGCCATCTTCTCCTCCTCCCTTTTTCTTTCTTTCACAAAAGTAATGGAGTGTCTTGCGCTGTCAAGAGGTACAATTTCCTCTGTCTCCCAACCAACTCCAGGAGAAGAGGCACCAAGGGGAAGTCTTCAGGACACAAACACTCAGGGAAATTCACACCTTGTCCTCTGAACCTTGTGGAAAATAAATTAGCATCTCTGGATTTGTTCTTGCTGCAGCAAAAGCTACCTTTGTGTAATTTGGAAAAACAAAAGGGGCTGTGCTGTCAGGGAGCTGGAGATCATCACAGGACGTCACATGTCTTGAGAGTAGAACACCCCAAATGTCTAACAGATCCAAAGGAGCTCAGGACCACTGCCTGCATCTGTACTAGGAAAGGAAAACCCTCCCTCACACGGACATTGTGGTGAACTCTGCAGAGCTGGCTGGAGCCGTGCTGACAACCTGTGGCATAAACATTTAACTCCTCTTGTTGACAATGAGTTGTATGTGTATACAGCAAAATGAGAAAAGATTCTCCAGTCTCTGAATTCCTAGTAATGCCAAGGTTTTTTGTACATCAGGGCTGAATTCTCAGCAAGGAAAAACAAGCAACAGGAACATATTTCTTCAGACAGCCTAAGCTTCAGTCGGTAACACTGCAGGAGTGGGAGGGTTTTTTAAAATTTATTTATTTCACAGACAGAAGTTGCTGGAATTCCCCTATAGAACCATTTCTCCAATAGGCTGCATCTATTGCTGAGGTGCCAAAGCCTTTAGCACCCAATTGCTGTCAGAAGGACTTACCAACGTGATCCGTTTTGGTCTTAGAAAGCTGATGAGTCTCAAAATCTGCTTTTATTCACTGGAGCACTTGCTAGCCTGCTGAGTGCTCGGGAGGCATGACTGTGGGTTCGCACTCCCCCAGTATAGCTAAGAGCTTTGATTCTCATCAGATGACACTTATTACTTAACAGCAACATTCTGAGTCAAGTTAAATAGCAAATAAACATAATGAGAGGGATTGCTAAAGAGCAAAATAAAACAGAAACTCAAAGCAGGAGATTTTGCTCTGAGCATCCCACACCCTGATAACTCTGAATAAGCATGAGAAAAATTCCTTTTTAAAAAAAACTGGCACTGAGAAACATCCTATTTATATATGTTTAAGAGAAGTTATAATAGTAATGATGATATCAGCTTCTACAAAAGAATACTGCAGTGCCTTTCACACTGGTTGGTGGATAGTTGTTATATAGATGGCTAAACAGAGAGGTTTTGTTCTATTTAACAAGGAGCTTCAATTTTATAATCCTTGGGTTGCAAATTCATAACAGTTATGAAAATCAGACCTTTCTTCAGAGGAAGATGATCATAGTCATTGTTATAAAACATTAGCTTTTTTCATGGTAAACAACTCTCCTGTATCACTTGTTTCACTTGGAATAATTTTTCCCCACAGATTACTGTTTAAAGACATCCTAAGTTGAATAATAGATGATGGATCATGCTTATATAATGTGAGCTGCTCTGCTCAAGGTAACAGATCAGATGTACTGCACAAACATCAGAAGAAACTCTATGGGGTGTGAGATGGATCCACCCCTTTTATTAAGATGAACAGAACTCGGTTTGCAGGGGAATGGTATGACCTACTGTGCACGTGCGAGTTCTGCCTGAGTAAGGACTGGGAACTGGGTCCTTGGACATAAAACATACCACGAAAATGTCACCATCTGCTTGAACTGTTAGGATTTATCTATGATTACTTTTTGGAAAGATAGTGCCATTAAGCTGAACTAAAAATGATTAAGGTCAGTTGTGCATATGTACATAATTTAGCAAGGTCTGTAGAATTTCTGATACAAGGTCGGTAGGTTAATCAGCAAGAAAACAGATTACTTGTTTATAACCACAAGGAATATGGTCTAGATGAGAATATAGACACTGAGAAAATACCTACCCTGAAACCTTTAAAATGCTCAGTGCTATCAGGAGAAGGTAGACATACACTTACCCATCAGACACTATGCCCTCTGCAATTTCACACACCAGCACAAATAAGAGGATAAAAGTCAGTATCCAGCGTAAATTGTGGCCAGGAAAATGAAGCCATGTGCTATGATGTATATGTACTTTGGAACTCTGACTTCCCCATCCTAAACAGGAAAAGAAAATTATAAAGAACTTTTCTTAACAACAAGAGTGACATACAAAGCTCCTGCATACAGAAAAGCATATATGTAACAAACTAGTGTACTAAAGTTGACACAACTGTGTTGTCAAACATGCATGTATTTGAATATTTTCAGACCTGTATTCTCATTGCTTCACTTCATATGGAATAAAATCAACAACGGAGACAGGACACAGCCTTAAATTCTTATACTTTTAGCAACTTACTATCAAGTAATTACATGCATTAAACATTCTTCAAATACATTAACAGTTTAAATGAACAACAAATGAACATCTTGACAAATGCACATAAACGCTATAATACATACACTATTTTTTCTTCACTTCAATGCATTTAATTACAGAATTTACAACTTATCTTACAATTTTATTTTAAAGTAACTCATTCTCTTGATCTAGATAAAAATTAGCAATACTGAGAAAAGCCAGATAAACACAGGTTACCCTAAGCAGTTCTTTTGCTGACCCTGTTTTAGTTGTGCTGTTATTTCAGCATCAGACCTTTTGTGATCAACAGAAGCGAGCATTAAATCACAAAGCTCGTGCCATGGCTATCTAGAGGACAGACCAGGCTGAGCAGAATGGTACTCAGAGTGCTAACAGCCACGTGTATTAAACCACTTGGGCCACCTACTGGTAACCCCAGTTTTATGTTATCAAATAATATCCACTGCAGATATGGCAAGAGTTACAGCAGCTGTCATTACCAGTAACGAGGAGGGCTGTCCGGCTGCTGTAACTCTGGTAATTGCAGGGAATGTTATTTGATAACATAAGACTTACTTGCCAGGTTTTCTGGTTTTTAACAGCACGTTTGGTTTTGCTTCCCGCGCTGCTAGTCAAAATCTGCAGGCAAATCCTGCAGCCTCCTCCAGCATCCATCCAGCCCCCACTCAAGGGGTTTCACCTGCAGGGAGCCCCACCTCGGAAAGCCCCCAACAGAGAGAAATGGGCACCGCTGCCAGGAGTGGAGAGACGTCCGGATGGCGGGCGGTGTGGGCGGCCAGCCTCGGGAGAGGCGGTCACCGGGGCATCCCGCAGCTTGTACCGCGTCCTAAGCCCCTTTGCAGCCTCCTGCCGCCCCGCACTGACGCGCGGCGGGGAGCAGGGCGCAGAGGGCAAGGCCAGGCCAGGCAAGCGCGGGGAGGTACCCAGCAAGGCAGGAAGGCAAGGCAAAGGGGGGGGAAACGCGACCCACGCCACACAGCGGGGGAGGGAAACCCACGGCAAGACAAAGCAAGGCGGCGGCGAGGGGACGGGGACACGGCACGGCAAAGCAAGATGGGGGTCAGAAGGCAA